GGGGGGCTGGAAGTGGGGGGGCGGTGGGGGGGGGGGGGGGGGGAAGGGCCACCAGCAGGCCCAGGGGGGCTGTGGGGGAGAGTGAGGGGCCTTTCATTTTAATCACAGATTTTGGGAGTTTTATCAGATAATTTGCATTTTTTTTTTAACCAGGGAAAACAGGATCCCTCCTAATAACTGTGCCTTATGACTAATCGGGCCCAAGTCAAAAGAAGGGAAGGTTCCAGTGCTAATCCCATGAGCCATTCACTCCCATTGCCCCTTCCACTGCTTTTTTTAAATAGAAGCTACCCTTCACAAAAGAAAGACTCAGTTTCAACTGCAGTTGGTGGCTCCCGGGCTAAAAAGAGGCAGCACAGTGCCCACAGCAAGTGCCAGAGGAAACCGAGAGCTTAAAAAAATGACAAACAAACATGGAGTGAGGGGAACTTTGCTCAGTGTGTAATAGTTTAAAGACTCCATCCCTAGACAATTGAGTTCCTTCTGCACTGATGTGCCCTCCTGCTGTTTAACTGCAAGCTGTGTTGACTAGCAGCTGCTGCACTCTGCAGGCCTTGGGCTGCCATCAGACAGGGCACAATAAAAAGACAAAAAGGCCTTCCCTTTACCCTGACTTGAAATGGCAGCCCCAGAGTCCACAAGGGATGGAGGGGAGGCAGCAGCAGGGACAGAGGAGGGAAGTCAGCATTTGATCATTGCTAACAAGGTGATCCAGGTCAAGAGCAAGACTCAACTGCTGCCAATCCTCCGCTCAGATGAAAGGTCCCCAGGCTGCCGTTCACCCTCAACGTAGAACATAGGCTGGCAGGACATCTTGTGTGCTCAGTGGATTTAAAACACAGTGCCAGATCCAAACTTCCCCCCTTACTTGGGGAATTTCAGGCCCTGAATTCAATGCAAAGTATGGATTCAGTTCTAACAGATGGATCAGAGTTGGAGCTCACATCCCAAACTCCCTGAGACCCTAGGGACATTCTGGCCTGTACCACAGGTTTAAGGCTTTGCCCAATCTCTACTCAATGATCATTAGACACACTAAGCTCTAAAACCATAAGCCTTAAATCTTCAGTCACCACTAGATAGATATAAGACACTGCAAGTGGCTCTGGAACATATTGGTAAAACCCCAGCAGGACCACCCACGCCTGGTTTTACATAAGTATGCCAGTTTTAAGTGTTCCCTGCAATAAAAACAGAGGACTGACAGGTAAAGGACCCTCTGAACAAAGGAAAAAAAACCAAAACTAAATACTCATCTGATTTTATTGAGGGGGAAAAAGGTCTTTTAAAACAGTTAATATATTGGATTTAAGCCTTGGTTCTGGTGCAAAGTACACAGTGGTAAGTCAGGAAAGAACTTTCTGCTCCTTCACAGGGTGACTAGCAATGACTTCAGAAGCTTGCTAGAAGCTCCAAGACAGGATGCACCTATTGCCCCACTGTAGATGCATTACATGACATTTACCACAGTTATTTGCAGCATAGATCACTGGATTAATAGCTGCCTGGTAGAATATTGCAAATTCTGTCCCTCACATCCAAACAAGCCCTGAGCTAAGAGAGTAACCTTTACAACAACAAGGGAAGCAGCCATTATTTAAACAGATGCCATCAACTTAGTTTAGGGCCCAAAGCTTCCGAGGTGTGGAATGTCAAGGTTTAAGAAAGCCTGTTAGGAACATGATTTTCCTTGCTTTCCAATGGACAAACCCCAATTCTATGACATTTTGCTACAGCGAGAGAGCAAAATGCCATATTGTAAACAAAAAAAAAGAAAAAAAAATGAAAAGGCCAGTTTAGCTTCACTGTCCAAACTGAATTAAATATGTGCTGTGAATAAACAATATCAGCCACCAAAAGTAATATTAGGAGCCTTCTATTGAGAAGTCCTAGGTACCAAATGCTGCTACTGACTTCACTGGGAGCTGTGTGTTGTCCACACCTATCAGAATCAGCTCCAGGGGGTTATAAAATCATTTTCACCACCATTTATGTAGTTAAAGATCTGTTTTCATTTTTTCCCCTCTCATCCTCACAAGGGGATACTGGAGGGTGAATGTTATGACAAGTCGAATAGCAGCTCAGTGTCAGCAGAAAGCTAGGGAAGCAGAAGGCCAAGTCCCTTGAAAATGCTGAGAACAAGGAGAAGGGGTGAAGAAAAACTCTCTTATAGAAGCATCAGGAAATGAGAGTCAGCTATGTGATGATACAGTGTATGGCTACAGTGTACAGTGGTGTACAGGATACATCTACAGCAATCGTTAGGTAGTGGGAAAGGTACCCCAAGGGATATGCACTGGGAGGGAGAGGAAGCAGAGGCAGGCATTTTGGCTCTACACGACTAGTTCGAATCCAACCACAAGGCTTTCCTGTGAAATGTGCCTGAACACTTCATCCAAATCCTAGAAACCTGGTATCCATACCGTTAATACCATGCTGGCACTCATTGATTCTTTTATCAACTATCTCAGTACAAGATCAAATATTATATGGGCCATGGAGCATCAATTCTCTTCTTATGCAAGGAAGCTCTCCTTCCATAGGAGGATGTGGACAAGGGCAGGGGCTCTAGCCAAAATGCCACTATACTCCTTCAGTTGATCTCTATGCTGCTTCCAACAAACAATCTCTGTTTATTTCTCTAGGAGAGTCAAGAGTACTAGGTCAATATTTCTCTGTTATCAGAATTAGTTTTTCAAGCTGGAACTAATTTAAAAAAAATGTTTAAATCTGAATTCCCCTAGGGAAGGGACTGTTTGTGAAGGAAGTAAATAATGCTAATAACTTTTAGCAGCATTGTGGTTGGCAGATTGTGGGCTCCATAAATGTACTTTCATGAGCCCTAACATTTCTTGGGACAAAGTTAGAAGAATATGGCTATACAGACTCCCCTACCCCAACCCCCCCAGCACAAAAACATGCATGCTCCTGAGCAGGACTCCTGGTGGGAACAACAGCAGAGAGTATCAATATCACTACTATTCTGTTCTGAGGTCTAATATGGTCATTCCCAAAACATGGCACCTGTGAAAACCCCACCAAGGGTTTCCTAAGCCCTCCTAAGTGGTGGCAAAGCCACTGAATGCACAAAGCAGGGAAAGAAGATGGAAACTGCCGAAGGCTGTACAAAGCCTGAGGTGCTTTTGTAAAACCTCTTTGTGGGGTTAATTTGGAAAGGAGAAAAAAGCAGCCAGAGAAATAGATTCTTTCTAACTTCATTTCATGTTTCGCCTTCCAACTATTCACCAAGGACCTGGAAAAATCAAGCAATGCGTGTCTGAGCAACCTGCAGGACCACAGCACCATCTAGTGGGACTGAGGGGGGCATGTACGTCGGCACTTGAGACATCTGCTGCTTGGCGTTTTGACAGCCTCTTCTTCCAGCCGGTTAACAAATCTCTGTATCGAATTTGTGCTTTAAAAAAAAAAAAAAAATGTTCATTGCAGATCTATAAAGAACAAATGAACAACAAATAACTCACTATTTTTATCTCCCAAACTCATCACCGTTAAAAAAAAACACTGGGGGCCTCTTCATAAATAGAGACGTGTGGGCAGAGAACCATCTGCACCAAATGTTATCTGCCAGCATACAGCTCTCTACTGCAGCAGACAGCACCCTCCCTTTGCAGGCTTCATCTCTTCTGCTTAAAATGGGCAAAATAAGCAGGCCACAAAATCTTTAATCCACAGGACTTTAAGGGGTCTGTGAATATGAGAGTTATCATTCCTGGGGGTCTCCATCTATTCCAAGTTTGTCCCCAAAGGAAAAAAAAATTAAAAATCACCCTTTCTCCCTGCCCTCGCCTCTACCCACTACTAAACAAAACAAGCAAAAAACCCAAAAAAACCCCAAACCCTACCAAAAGCAAACAAATAGCAGTCTCCAAATAAAATAATTGGAGGGAACCTGAAATGTTGTCACCTTCCATAGTATTTTGTACAAGTACTAAAAGTGCCCTTGGATGGTATGCGTCATGGAGTGATAGATGCCACTCAGTTCATTCATGGTTGTAAATATGAACTCTGTGCCGCTAGCTGAGGTAATCTGAATCGCTAGTTAAATACTTCCTTAGTCACCGTTCTTTGGGTTGAAATCTGTCTCATTGTAGGGAGCGCTATTTAACATTTAAGCCTCTGAATAAGAGTTCCTGAAGGAAGCAAGCAAATGCTCTCTACATTGGGATAGATTTCATCCTTTCTGCTGCACCTCAAATGCTATGTGTAAGACTGACAATTCTACCTTTAAGCAGGGTAGATGTAGCTGTGATCCATGATCTGGCATGCAGGTCCATATTTCCACTGGGGCCTCAGAAATTTGTTTGAAAGCTTAGTTTAGCATGTGGCATCTGGCCTACTCTACTTTTAAATGACTCATACAATGCGCCTCTAACAACCACAGAACTGTAGGATCAGAAGGACCTAAAGGGTCTTGTAACCTACCCTGGCTGCATGGGACCACCTCCCTGCAGGGGCCCATCTACAGATCATGGATGTTCTCAGTAAAGGATATAATGTTTAACTCATACATCATCACCACACACTGGTCAGTATGTACTGACACAGGGTTCAATGATGACAACACAAAGAACAAGCCTACTCCTATACAGTGCAAAAAGAGAGCAGAGTGCAAGATAGCTTGAAGAATAAAAGTGCTCTCTAAGTATGTGGCACTGTTATTAACTTTGGCTCTCGTGCTTACATCAGATATTTGTGTAGATTCTCTGGAATAACAAGTGATCTGACTGGAGGTACCATACGTTAATTCAGTGCTGGTTTTATATTCTTCACTCCACATAATGGAGTGAAGGGTGCAGTTACAGAGGTTTATCAGTTACTCCATTTATCAATTAGCTTAGTTTGCACAGGTTCATGATTTTAGAGCCAGAACTCCACGGTTCGGCCCCCACAGCTGATGCAAAGCAAGGGTACTGCTACAAAAACAAAAACAGGAGGAGAAGCATATCCCTTGTTCATTTCGGCTACGGTTCCTGGGTGGCTCGGATCTTTAAAATTACAAACACACATCAGATCTAACATTCCTAGGTAAAAGAAGCTGGATCATTGAGGCATCTGATATTAAAAAAGACCAGTTTCCGGCATTTTGAGGTCTTCAGACACAGGAGGGATTGTGGCAGATGAACTATTAAAGACACAGATGCTTCTTAGGGACCTACAAACTGCATGACGGATGGCCTGTGATATCAGTATCCATCTTCATCATTTGCCTGAGATCACCAGGGCAGAGATGTAGCAGACAGAAGGTCATTTCATGCAATTTGGAGGAGGGTGGGAAAAAGTAGCAGCAGGTATGACAGATAGTTATGGGAAGCCAGCAAACCTGACACCAGCTTTGCTCTGGCCAAGCCACACAATTAAGTTTCAGAGTGAAGGCAGGAGGAAGATGGGCATAGCTTGGACCATGTTTCTTTTAAAATGACAAGCCAGTGTCCCTTTGAAAGACAGGGACAGTTTATATTTGGCAGGTGTATTATTAATGTCAGCGTCAAGTAAAGCTGTTCTGGTCCTGGAGTTGGTTACATGGCCTCAGAGAGCTTCTCAACTGAACTAAAAACTATTATTCACAGAATGGAAACCATTGTTGCAGGAAGTACCTGAACTAAAGCCCACTTCAAATCTTTACTTAATTACCTCTGCTCTCCAAGGGAAGGAGCCACTCACTGCACCGGGTCTCAGTTTTGCCTCTTGAAACTCAAGGAACAGAGCACCCCTATTCCAGCTGGTTTACACAATAATCCTTCAGGCATACAATAAACAGAGCACTGTATACAGTATGCTCCTGACCTGCAATGTTATACAGCTTGTCCTCAATACAAAGATTCAGAGAAGTTCACAGGAGTTCACACAAGAGATGTGTGAATCAATAATTCTTCTGTTGCTGACTGAACTGAAAAAAAATAAAATGGGAACAGTATTTTTTTTGGCTAAACCAAACCATGTGGGGGCCAGATTTTATTCCACTAATCAATCATGAACATAGGTGGACTTAGGTGGCTTAGTGTAATTCTACCCCAACCAGCTTAAGTCCCTGAAAAACAATTAATGCAATAGGTGGGTAGGTCCTCCTCCTCACAGCTTTCTTGTCAATCATAAAGGGAAGATGATGGTGTGCTAAAAAATTACACAAAACTTCCTTTGTGGCCCAAATATTGAAGACAAGTTAGATGAGCTAGCAGAGCCTGGTCTCCATTCCCACCACAATCATAACACTCCTTTGTCTTTATGCAGCGAAAACCTCTATGCAAGAATGCAGTCTATCCAAAAGCCCTCCCCACACTTCACTGGTACCCCACCCAACTCCAGTCTGTCTCATGGGGATCATTACCAAGATAACAGTAATTAAGATTTTGTGTTGAATTCCTCAATATTCCACAGCTGAGTCTAGTATACAACTCCTAGGTATCTAGCTTATAATGTTATATAGATATATCTCCATCTCTACTGGAGATCAATAGGTAGCCATTTCCCAATGACAAGCAATAATTAGCACTTTAGGCAGCTTAGATAATGAATAAGTATCTCCTCCAGGACCTTTCGTTTCCCTATGCCTTTATTTTTCCTGTCAAGAACTTGCATTGCAAAAAAAGAAACAGATTGGATTCCTCTCTCTCCCCCACAGGCTTGGACATCAGAGCCCAAATGCTAGCAAGAAAAACAAAAACTCTAGCACAGAGCATCTATGCATCCTGGCATTCTCCTAGCTGTTGAGTCCAGTAAACACCTCAGGATGCAGATTTTTCCAGGTTATAACTGCTATTTTAAAATGTAGTCTCTAGTCAAGAGTATGGATTGAAAGAACTCATTCAGCCTCAAATGTATTTAGGGTCCCAAATCTGGCTTTTGACCTGTGATACTGGTATAAATGCAGAATTATTCTACTGAAAGAAATGGAGTCAGTACATACTTAATGCAGATGCAATTTAGCTTATAGAAGTATAAGGCACGAAAGACATGTTCAGGTGTCCCCCACCTCCAGCTAGTACAAATTGTTACCCAAGAGGGAGAGGAGGAACCCTGATGGATCATACAAATTCTGCTCTGGCCAAGAAACGGCTAGCAATTTACTGCACACTCAATCAGCCCTATCCCGTTCACCTACAATGGGTGTCAGTTTTGGACACCTGAACTCTTCTGATTTGGGTGCTGGCAAGAAAGAACAACATGCCTCCAGTTCTCATACTGGAAAAGAAGCCTGTCTGGCACCAGAAGCTGACTGATGTGACTAGAGAGTGACTAGAGAGTGCTGTCAGCCACAGTCTTCCTGAGCAACAGCAGACCTGGAACCACTGTTTTCATCAGCTGCCAGTGACTAGATGGCTGTTGCCAAGTCAATCAGTTACAGGTCATGCTCCAAATTAAATGGGTAAAAGCCGCCCCCCTCCGCCCCCCACAAAAATACCCACAACCCTTCCGTCTTTTGCACATGACAAACCAGCAATGGTCTGCCACAACCTAAAAAGCAACACAGCCAGCAGACAACCTGCAGGAGTGTACCTTGTAGGTTACTTCCTGCTTCCTCCAAAGTTCAGCTGTTTCAGTACCACTCTTTATAATATCCCAGCACACTACACAGGTGACATCAGAACTGCCATAAAACCCTTCTGGAACACTGAGGCCAGATGCTGTAGCTTAAAAATTTCTTAGCATGACTTCAAAGATTCCAGTGAGGACAACACACCCTAAAAAGAGTTGCTCGTTGCCGCGTGGTCCAAAATCATCCATTTGCCCTGGCCACCCAAAATGACCAGAGAGAAGCGATTCATGCAACTGCTTATAGAGAAGGTGAATTGCTAACTATGAGTATTATTATGGAGTTTCCTCAAAGTTTTGAACCAGCAATTTCCCATTCTGTACCCCAGAAGCAACACAGAGCCAATCTGATGCATTAAAAAGCAAAAAGTAGCTGGGTTTAACATTTAAAGCAAATCCATCCAGAGTCCAGTATATACATTTCAGTGTGGAGCCATATATATATAAAAAATTGAATTCCCCAAATTCAGTTCAATTGAACTCTTATAAAATTGAATGTAGATTTCATTTACAGATCACCAATGAGGTAGAGGACTTTGAAGGTACAGCTCACCCACAAATTTGGTTGTACCACATTTTTGCTGATGACATCAACATGTGGCAATGCCAGCTCACAGCAAACTCCCACAGAGGACATCATTAATTATATAAGGCATCAGTGTCCCCAACTATCCCAAATAAGAGCAAAGGCCATAAGACTTTGCAATGACCAACAGAAAGCAATGGAGAACAATATCCTGCCTAACAACAGAGTGCCAAAGTAAAAGACGCAAAGCTGTGGAGAAGCTTTTCAAGGTACATTTAAAAAGATACATAAAAACTGAACAAAGTCAGGAAGAGAAAAGAACTTCTAAAGCATTATAC